CTCACTCTGAACATTTCTGCAAGTTCTTGGCATGTTGTCCTGGAATTTGCGTCCAAAACCTGTCAAAGATCCTCGTTATTCATGATTTTTGGTCTCCCTGCGCGGTTATCGCTCAAACTGAGATCTCCCGAAGAAAATTTTTTGAACCACTTCTGTGCTGTTCGATCACTAACGGCATCATCTCCAAATGCGGTACATATTTTTCGCGCCGCCCCTGCAGCTTTTGTACTAAGTTTGTACTCATACAGTAAACAACTTCGAATTACTGTTTTATTCGTTGCCATTTTCAATTATTAAAACTAGGTATCTAACAATTTTCAGCAACTTTTTATGTGCGTGAGAAAAGAAGGATACATACTAAAGTGACAACAGGTAACAAACAATCGCTATCGGTAAACAACATCCATGGCAATGTGCGATATACAGCAACCGCACGAACTTATTTGATTACCTGATACATACGGTGACCGTATAGCCCTACAGATTTCATCAAAGTTGCTGAAGCTGTTTCTGAGATTATGGGGTTGGAGAAACAGGTAAATAGGCAGATGATAGACAGACAGATTGACTGAAATTAGAGACACGTATTTTCGAAATTATGAAAAAACGCCAGAACAAACTTATCTGAAATTCGCAACTCTTCGTGACCACAAAGCTTATGCCCAGGATATTGGATTGTTACAAAATTGCTTTTGACATTTTTCCTCATTCAAATTGCGTAGAGTTTTGAATTTTTCCCCAGCCAGCTAGTGTAAATTATGAAATTTCGTAAAAAAGATATCATTATTTTCTACTGACTCCAGAATCTTTGTCTTTTTTACAATGATGATTGACCCATCGGTTACTGAGAATTCTGGACGTAAAATCACTCCACTCTCGGAATATGTGGGTGGAGGGTGGACTCGAGGAAACAACTTCGACCACAAAATCTTATACAGATCATCCCGTCATGCTCTTCTTGATGAAGACCAAAATCTTCGATTCTGCCTCTACTAATCATCTTGCTTTTCAGAAATATAAGCTTCACTCCAATTTGAGGCATAACGGTAAAGTTGTGGCCTTTGTCCGCGACAGTCCCTCCTGCTCCAGAGATGTCTTCCTGGAATCAGACCCGAAAGACATTCTACGGCTTCGGATCAACTCCAAAACATTCCTCAAAGGAGGTGGGCTGGTAAGAGCCATTTTTCGCCCATCAGCGAATAGATATAGATAGAATATTTATGATATAACAAAGAAGAAAACATACTTATTTCATATGAAAACTGAAATTCGTGGTATACATAAATTAAATAATTATCTGAGTGTTCTGTATGTTTATTAAACGATAATAAAAGATAATCAGGTTTCATAGACTTAATATATTTTTTTATTAATCTTCTTCCCTGTCTTCTTCAATCTAATCACTATCAGACCATCATTCAGTATCATCAGAGGTACTTGTTGAAGTAAGAACTGTTGTTGTCTTTACAGAAGATGAAGTGGGAGTCTTTTGAGATTGAGCCACGCGGAATGCATATGATCTGCATTTAGGACACAACTTAGAACCAATCTGCAGATCACAGTTTTTAGATTTTCTAGGTATTGCTATAATGTTTTTGTTCGAGCAGCTGCGGAAATAATTTTTGTTTTTCGCCACGTTTTACAACAATCACACTGGCAGCCATTCATTATTGTTTTCTCAAGTTTTTCAATAAACGTTGAACGCGACAGCACAGCACAGCTTCTATACCTTTACTACGTAAATACTTTTCGAGCGCGAAAAATCATTGAACACGCAGCGATTGCAGCGTGACTCAGTCACCCGCAGCATAATATACACCTATTATGTATTTTTGGATTGATGCGCTCACTGAAACAAAACAAATAATACTCATATTCAAGCTTATAATAAGTAGACTCACTGAGCATTAAAGTCAATGTGGTTCATGGAACACTTCGGTAGGCATGATTCAAAGATCGAACAACAACAGAAATGCACAAAAAGCGCTAAATACTGTATTTCTTGGCAATAATTTCTGAAGCATATTACATTATTTATACCGTAAATATTATATAAAAAATACACGTCTTGAAGTTCACAAATAAATTCAATAATAGTCTGGAATCGAACTTTTTATTTTTGAGTGTGTTATGGGCGAAAAATGGCCCTTATTAACCCACCTCCTCTGTTTGCTGCTTCTATCCTCTATCGTTCTTCCTCGGATTATAACTGGGATGACCTATATGAGTACCTCGCTGTCAAAATCGACTTTTTGAATAACCATCTCGTAGAAGTAGTTTATCCTCGGTGACTCCAATGCCCATAATGAACTCTGCCATTCGCCATTAGCCCGAGACTGAATCGAGCGGTGACGAGCTCTACTTTCTTTCCTCGCGTTTCATCACAGGTCAGTAGTCTTCTGGATCTCTTCCTGCCCACGCATCCTATCCCTTACAGCACTGCTGTCTTATCTCCGCTGGGTAACTTGGACGACGGTGTTGTACAAGTCAGGTTTCAATCAGAACCTGCTGTGGGAACAGAAACTCAACCAGGGCGCAGAATTGAGCTTTACGGGCATGCTGATCGGGATCCCTTATACAGTGCCAAAACCAGGACCTAACGGCGATAAGTCGATAGGTAGGATGATACGATTGAAGGCGACTAAGACGGAAATGCTTGCCAAGATCTTTGCTGCCAGTTCCACCATGGACGTCTCCCTCTCCCAACGGTCGTGTGCAATCGACTCCAAGGGTTAACTACACTATGCAGGAAGCAGACGTGGATCCTGGGGGGCAACGGTGCCATTGCCCCCCCAAGGCCTTTGACTTGCAGGGTAAAATGAGGAAAGGAGAAAGAAGGAGATATTACATTGTTTTTTGTTTGAAAACTTGAAATAAATGTGCATTCTGTTCTTACTGTGCTGTTTATTATATCCCTTCTTAATTACTGTTTTATAAAAAGTACAAACGATGTGACAATACCCTCTGAAAGTAGGTAACTTGCCCACTAATCCTGGATCCGCGCTTGGCGGGAAGTAACCCTCAGGCATATGACCTTAAGACGGGTGCTCTTGAGGTTCGACATCAACAAAGCTTCTGGTTCTGACCTGATTTTTTCTATTATACCGAAGATATGTGCTCTAGTTCTATGGCGTCTAGATATTTTACAAATCTAGTACTTTCCCTGAGAATTGGAAACTTGCTCGCGTCCAGCCTGCCCCAAAAAAGGATCTGGGACCGACCCTTACAACTACTACACTACTACAGTGAACGTTTTCCACGAACCTCTTGGACTTATCTTCCACCAATATGATAATTAAAACTCGATTTTCTGTCAAAAAACCTACTCTCACAATGCCCTTTACATTCAAGAATTTTTTCTATCACCTCCGACGAAATCCTCGTATCGGCAACACCGCCATGGTGATCCTGCTTGCCGGCCGCGCCTCCATCTCTGCCCCCTCCCCCTCCTAAGCCTTCCCGTGGTCCGTCCTTAGCCGCCGGCGCCCCCAGCCAGCACCTTGCGCCATGTGGCCGACATAAACAAAGCACATTACGCACGCGGGGGTCGGATCAGCTGTGACACGGCGCTGTTGCCACGTTGATCACCGCGATGATCGATACTCGCAGCCGACTGGATGATGAGGCTGGAAATTGCACGGAGGATGCGGGAGATGGAAGTAGGGGGTCTAGGGTTGCTAGATATGGAGAATAGTTGGAATGAGATGCAAGTATTTTGTGAGATTTGACGGATTTGTATGCAGAAGTGATAAGCATGCGTGGTAGCGTCTATGCAATATTGGTACACTGTATAATAACGGCGCAACAGTGACATTTTAGGAAAGCCTCATGTTTAATTCAGGCTTTTTAAAAAGTACTCGTGTCTGGAATCTATACAATAAGCAGTTTTTGAGAAAAAACATCCCTTATTCATTGTAGATTTGGATGCGGTGAACTGATTCCGCCATTCTGAAACCATAGTATCTTCAGATAATCCAATCAGATTTTAGCATAATCGTGGAGATTTTTGAAAATTGGTTTCAGCATAAATTGATATTAACTGTATTAGAACAAAGCTGTTTTTTTCAAGAACTGCCCATTTGATAGAAATCAAACAAGTCGTATTTTTAGTTAAAGGATTAGGCAAAAATATTATTTTTGTTGATATTTGTATAAGGCGTAAGACATATTGCATTGGTGATCTAAATCAGTCAATTGTTTTCTCTATGGATATCATGTGAGGCCTTAACCGGGTACGGTGCTTGCAAAATTTCATTATACAGCAGTGTCGCCCAAAGGATATTTAAGGAAAATCGATTTCCAGTAACGTCCTAGGTGGCCTCTGTATCTTCGTAAGCCATTGGGGAGCCCCGTAACTATATGACATTTATTCATAGGAGCTTGAGACATTATTTTCTTGCGCTCGATACACGTCCGAAAGACTGCCACCTTTTTGTGTGTGACTTTGCATACTTCATTTTATTTATTTATATAGGTAAAACTTGTGTACAAAGAGGATCTATAGGTACTATCGTTTGGTTTAGGTTACAGTTTTCAGCCGTGCTTTCAAATAATTCTCAGTTTCTTTACGCATATAGCATATATGGGATTTGCTTGACAATACTTTCATTCATCAGATTTGCATTATTTACCGGATTTTTATCTCAAGTTTTCCCTTAATTTTCGGTCAGCGAAATTATTTTATTAGCATATCCATTATACATGTTGAAGTTATCTAAAAACACATGCTTAATCATTTGCAATTAATAAAATAATTTGTAATAAGGCATGTTCTGGCAGCGAATTTATGCCGGTTGTGGATAGTTGGAAACCGTTAACCAAATTATTTTGACGCTTACCGTTCAATAACTGCAACTATTAAGCACATTTTCTTAAAAACTATCAAATTTCTGTTCAGTTTGGCAACGTCGCCCTCACTCCGCGTCTTTGCAACTACGCATGCGTGGCAGGCACGGCCGTCGCGATCGCGTCGACCGTCAGTCGGCGAGAGAATTTGGTCGATGGCGCACCCATCCGTGCGGTTATCGTGTTGCCAGCAGGCGGCCGCCCAAGCGGCCCAGGGGCGGCCCCCTATGGCTCGTCGCGGGGGCCCAGCCAGCCCCGACACCCTCCTGGACGTGACAGCGCGAGTGGTCGCCGAGAACATCCCGTTCCAACGCGTCGAGGAACGGTACGACCGCATCCCCGAGCCGGTGCAACGCCGAATCATCTTCTGGTCGTTCCCCAGGAACGAAAGGGACATCTGTATGTATTCCTCATTGTCGCGAGTGCCCCCCGCGAGTGGTTCTTCGTCTGGATCGGCGGCTGTCGAGCCGCAGAACTTGAGTTTTTGCAAGGGATTAAAGTTACTAGAGATGGGGTGTGTGGATAACGTCTTGCAAGTTGGTGAGTTACAATAATGAAAATCTAATATATAATGTTCAAATAATGACTATATTTTAATTGATATCTTGTTCATGTGAAAATTAAAATGAGCTTTTCGATACCTCAAGTTAGCTGGTATTCGTTATCTATGATTTTGTTTTAAGTGACCTGAATTCAGAATTTTGAAGCCTGTATAAAGGTTTATTCTTTCACGGATCATTGTCCTCTTATATTATCTTGTATTTCTTGCAATCCACTTGAATAGTTCACAAGATAATGTAAAGCTTTTGTTTTTATAATGTTGTGCTTAATGTTTGTGATCCCACGATCTCAGGATTCAAAACATGACATAATTATTGATCGACCAGCCAAAGATTGCTAGGGACGAAAGGGGGAAATGCGATGAAAAAACCTTACCATTAGACGATTTTATATGGAGTCATAGGCGGAGATCGGAGAGACTTGAATTATTAATTGAATTTATATTTTATTACAACTGGTAGTATTAATATTTTTTTGCGATTCATAATGACGTGATACCAAACATACATTATAAGAAATAAATATACACAAACACTGAATATTGAGAACAAAATAAATATATTTTTTAGGCAACAAGTAATATTCCTATGTACGCATTATGATTGAACAGCAAAACAAATTATGCATTCTTCTAAAATAGAATACAACAAGTCAAAAATATCTGACTGAATAGAAAAATATAGGAAAACAAAAAGTAATTTCTTGATGAAATAACCCATAAACAACACATAGAATTAGACTTTCTACTGAGATACTAAAAGCCACAAACCAATAGTATAATAAATGAATATCTAAAAATTCTAAAAGGTAGCCAATCTAGTATAGTTTCAATCCTGATTAGAGTCATGATCACTGTCTGAGGAACTGTCATTGCTATCACTTTCACCTCCTATGTTGATTATTATTTCTTCCTGTATTTCTTGAATGAGACTGTCTTTTTCCCAATATTCATCTTCAATTTTTATAACATGTCCAATAACCTTTTGCCAGTCACTGGCACTTACTGAAGCGATGGCCTTATTAGAAATTTCATCTAGTTTTTTTATAGTAAATTCGCCGCTTGTATTATGGCTTCTAATGAAAAATTTTACTTGTGCCCAAATCATCTCTATGGGATTAAACTGACACATATAGGGTGGCGTTCGAAGTGGGGTGTGTCCGAAACTTCTTATTAAATTATCTATCTTATAATTTTTCTCATCAGATGGTGGCCTATGTAGACAAGCTATTTCATAAAGCTCCATTTTTTTAGCATTAGGATCATGCTCTATACCTTTTTTGCTCAACCACGTGATGATGTCTCTTTTTAGAGAAGATCTAGTTGGAGGCTTGTCTTCCAAAGCTGAATGGTAAGGTGCATTATCCATTATTATAATACTATTAGGAGGAATGTTAGGAAATAGTTTTTCAGTAAGCCACTTCGTGAAATTTTCTTGGTTCATTTGACCGTGATAATCACCAGTGGCACAGCCAGCCTTGAAAATGAGACAGGCTCCAGGAACAAAACCATCTTGCGAACCCGCATGAACAATTATAAGTCGTCCTGGAAATGAATAAATAGCCTCATTTTAGTGTTATTTTAAGTTTGCCAACACCTTTTTGAATCACTATGTATAAAAAACATATTTTTGAGAAAAAAATACTTGCAAGGGATTATGTATTCAATTAGACAAATTAAATGAGCACTTATTAAGAATATTCCAAAATTGAGAAAAATGTATAATAAGCAAAATCGAGGTGAAAGAAACTTTATTACCTGTAGAACTTATATTGCTCAGGACACCCATAATTTCTTCGCTTTGCCAGCATTTCTTGAAAGTGAGGTCATTATCAACCCAAGTTTCCTCCAAATAAATAATATGCCTTCCTTCTTCCCGGAACTTTTTAATAGACCTAAGATACTTGTATCGCCAATGTAAAATACTGGGTCTTTCCATTAGTAATTTCCTTTTGTTGTGGCATTTACGCCAGTAAAATCCTTTTGCTTTTAAAAGCAGCCTCAACGATTCTTTACCAAATGGAAATTCCATTTCTTCCTTCAGTTTGATTAGAAGTTTACTACAAGTAGGTACCACTTTAAAATCACAGTAAAATTTTTCTATCATTCTCCGAATAATGGAAAAATCGACTCCATCAATTTTTTGGATCACAGAAGGGCGTGATCTCTTTTTTCCGGGAGAAGCTAAAGGCTGTGTGGAGGTTGCATTTTGCCTGTCTTTATCTTCTTTTCTAATTTTACTTATAGTTCGTTCACTAACACCCGTATAATATGCCGCCCTTGCATTTCTAGCTACCAGTGGATAAACGAAAGTATTGTTAGCCGCTTCTGCATCGCAAGCACGTATCACGTTTGCTATTATTTCCCTTGCCTGGCTGTGAATAACTTTCCCATGCTTGAATTCCATTATCACCACTAAACAGTAAATTATATTTTCAAAGTATTTGCCAACTGCCTACGCCTATGGGAGTAGGTTTATAAATGACCGTGCCATCGGCACGTTATTCTAGTTTCAGATAAGATAAGAGTTTTGGACCAATCAGCGACCGGATGTTTACCTGCGGCCTGGGTTTTCCAGCTACATTGCCAAATTCAGCGGAACAATTCTATATCTTAAATATGTTAATATGTATGGACCGCATTTTATGTAGAACATCTGACAACTTCGCAATTTTTTGTCCGCATTCTTTCGGCTTGCAATCTTTCGCTGGTCCAACAGTATAAAGGTCTTTCGCTTTTGAAGAACATTAAAATTTAGGTACTTTTGTAACGCATGCAGTAAGCAATGAGAATTTAAACTTGCAGTTATGTTTTTCTCCCTGATGTCTGTGTTTAGAGTTCATTATAAATTTTAGCATTAGAACTGGTATTCGTTTTGTTTTTGTTTATCAAAGGTATTATAATCCAGTTATGTTATTGAAGAATTTGAAGAGGTATATATATTTTTAATTTTTATCTTTTTCCATATTGGCTGGCATCTTGAATTAGGTACCATTATTTGGTTGGTATAAGCGTGACACTTGCATTTAGGAAAAATTTCATGATTGTACAGAAATGTCTTAGTTCCTCCCATAGACATACATGCGTGATTCAGGTACCTACTTGATTGATAAAGTCATGAGTTATCCTATCAAAAGTATTAGAGAAAGGATAAAGTACCTGCAAATTTATGAGTATCAGTATGTTGAAAGTCAAAAAATTCAAATTGTGAATATCATTTTTAAAATTATTGGATATAATCCCCAATAGAGGCAGACTGAACTAGTGACATAATTATTTTGTTACCGACATGGCTGTTTCAAAAATGTGTTCCTTGAGAATTTGCTACACAATCATTTCCAATGCATATTTGTGGCCTAGATAAATAATACATAATATTTTTAATACCCAGATAGTGCTGATTTTGCTTTTTTGTCAAACATAAATATTTAGAACTGGCTTTCTGTCCCGCGGCTTTACTCGCGGAAAACGTAGCGCACTACTAAAGTAACAAAATTTACACACAATTTAACTAATGCCATCAAAGCTACGAAACGTGATCGGAAGTTTTTAGCGCTACTTGAAAACAATGTTTTATCGTACTATCAGTTTCAAGCGTACAAAGTCGTGAGTAACAGCTAGTGCCCTAGTGCAAAAAACTTATATGTCCCTTGACGGTCACAGCATGAGTGTGGCGATGACAGGGCGCGCTGTTGCCGGCTTGACGCCGACGTTGGAGATTCTGGTACATGTCGTAACAACTGATTACCAAATAAACGATGAATTCTTGGATAATTCTATGCCAACAGCTTTTCTCGGGTATCACTTGCTGAGTGTACAAATTCTTGCATCTCTCCTGTACAGACATTCACATTTATGTTATATAATATAGAGATAGAGAGCAAGATTTATGGTACTAAACATTGCAAACCTCGATACACCAATTCCTCAATTTTTGTACTTATATGTACATCACTTATTTAGTTTTTTTCTATAGAAATTAGACTAAATTACACAAAACCCTCTAGGTTTGACTTGTATTGATTAAAACAGCACGTAAGTACGCTACATTAGTATAATTATTAACTAAAGTATTAACCGCTGTTAAAATCGTCCTAAAAATATGAAATATGTATATATAATTTTTCTGAAATTGACACTTCACGAAATGGAATGTTCCCTGTTAAATTTTAGGAATCATGTTTGTTAGATAATTTTCAAACTATGTTGAATGTAGTTTAGCCACTATTATTATAGGTGAGTGACAAAAATCAAAACTATTAAAAGTTCAATCGCCCATTCCTACAAATTAGTGTCATTGTATACAGGGTGTCCTGAAAGTTGGGACTTTCCTTTTCAGAAACAACTACGTTTGAAATAGCTGATGTGCTGTAAAACAGCCGCAAAAATGTAAAAAATAAATTGGAAAAAGTACTCATCTTTCAAGATCAGGAATTTCAAGTAATGCCCTGACACCTTTTTTGCTCGTAAAGTCGTAAATACTGTTGGAGTTGTCGCCGTTCTATTCGAAAACACAAGTCTGTTAACTTCTTCCTGAAATTGCAACATTGGTTTAGGCATTTTACCGTATCCACCTTGATTGCCTTTGCACGAAACAAACAAACTTACCCAGCTCTGGACGGTAACGATCTGAATACCCACACGAAGTGTCAGTAGAATCTTGACACTCGCTGGTAAATAACATCAAATCGGTAATTGCGTTATTGCTATAGGAAGATGTCAATTTCGGGTTTCCAAATCGTATTGTAAATAAGGTTAACCTACACATCGCGTGGCGCCTGATTTGGATACTAACGCAATCCTACCATAACACATCGTACCTTGTGATTTAGGATGCAGGTTCGGGCTTGGCCCAATCCGAGTTTTTCGTGACTATCTCGGTTATTTTAAGGTTTTGGTGTATGTGTTACTAGGAAAATTTGCTCATTGCTGCCTGACATATACGCTCTGTAATGGAAGTCCTCAACTTTAAGGACACCTTGTATTTCTTCTCAT